AGTAGCTAGTGTCTGCTGGACTTAATCCAGTCAGGGCTTGCTATTTACAACTTTCTGCATAAAAATCTAAAAACTGCACAAAAATCCAGTTATTTAAATGTAATGGACAAAAATCAGGACACCACATATGGCCATGATAAAAAATGAAAAAAAAATCTTACTGTCAGATGTTTCAGATTTATAAAACTTGTACATAATTCCTTTTCAAAGGGATAGTAAATGAATTGCTATTTGTTCGTACTTTAAATAGAATGAAATTGGTTATTTAATTTATAGGTTAAGTGTAACATTGGCAATTAAAGCCCATTATTGTTTCTAAGAGAAATGGGAGAAAGCAAGTGTATACTGAGTTTCCTTATTTTATCAAGAATTAATTCTGACCCAGGCATAGTGGTCCACACTGTAGTCCCACCTACTCTGGAGGCTGAGGCGGGAGGATTGCTTAAGGCCCGAAGTTAGAGGCTCTAGTGCACTATGTTTGTACCTGTGAATAGCCACTGCCCCCCAGCATGGGCAACATAGTGAGATCTTGCCTCTAAAACAAAGTAATAAAATAAAATAAATTACCCTTGATAAACTCAGGGCCTTTGCACTGGCCAAACAGCATAGTCTGGAGAATGCTGAGTGGAGGGTTAAGTGGTTTTGATGGTAGAGGGGTGGTGCAAGAGCTGGGATGATTTCCTTATTTTTTGACTCTGCTGCAAAGATTTACAATTGACAAGACAAAAAAGGCTGTTTTAGGGAAATTGGTTTATTGGTAACCGAGTATGAATATTCAAAGATGTGAGAAACTAAAAGTCAAGGTTTCTAATTTATTACAGTAGTCAAATTGGAAGTGACAGAAGTGAGAGAAGAGCTACAGTGTCAATGAAAAGAAATACTTTAAAGGCAAATAAACAGAACTAATAATTGACTAGATCTAAGGATGGAAATATAATTTGAAAAGCACAATTCATGGGAAAATATTTAGATTTTTGGTTAAATTATACACTTTTACCAATAGGCATCATATATTACTATGTTCTTTAGCAGAATAAAATCACTACTTTAATATCAACTTGAATTTTTTATTCACTACAAGCTCTTTCCTAGATATAGGCTGGCCCATTTCTCTTTTTTCAAATAGATAGGGCTCATTGTTAAAGGGATAATTCTGAAAATAAGAAAATATTCAAAATGTGATGTACATTAATCAAATCATGCAATTAATATGCAGTATTCTTTTTGGTAGATTGATTGTTTTTTTTTATAATTTGGTAATCATCCTCTTTATCAATGGGAATTCTAAGATTAAATAAATATTCATTAAATCTTTTAAGTAGGCAATATGTTAGAGAAAATGAAATGCATTCTGCTTTTATCATATTTCTACAAGATTTAGAATGACATTTTGAATCAAATCAATTATCTTTTTAATGATTTCACCATATAATTAGGAAGAAAATAGCTTATAGCATAGTATATTAACCTCTTTTTGCAGTCTAAACCAGCTTTGGAATTGGGATATTTCCATTCATATTCAAATCAGTAATAGACCATAATGTAGACCTTGTGCACTACATTGGCCTATTAAAGTAGATAAGTGGCACAACTATTTTAATGGCAATTCTTTTTGATTTTTTTTTGTTTGGCTGTGGGGAAACAAGGTATTTTATGGGTGTGTGAGTAGTCTTTTTTTTTTTTTTTCATCCTAAACTATGTAGAGGAAAGAAATCAACAGGTGAGAAAAAAATAGGAGCTGCTATTTAAAGGTACTACAGATCAGAGATAAACCACATAACCCAATTACTTATTCTTTCCCATTTCTTATTTATGCTATTTAAATAAATAAAAAAATGTTTTCTTCCAGCAAGATGCCTTCCACCAGGTAAAAGCCAGAAAAAGAAAAAGGCTAGTTCCTCACCATAAGTACTTAGCATTCTTTTTGCTTGAGCAAAATGAAAAACACCAACAAGTCTGCTCATACACAGGGGGAAAAAAAAAACATTTTTAAAATGTCAAATATACATTCATTAGAGGATATTGTAGAAAAATGTATTTAACTCTAGAGAGGAGACAATTAACCTGATAGGCATAAGCTGTTATCTATTCTCTACTTAGAAACTGAGAATGATTAGGTCAATGACTACATGTGCTTGCAACTAATTCTAGGTATAAGGATACTATTTATGACCATTTTAACTTTATTAACCATAATACTATAACATGATACATTTATTCCTACTACTACTGACAAAACTATAATTTGCATAATCCTAAAAGGAAATTGTCACACCTTTGAATATATTGCAAATGCCAAATAATTCTGGGTACTTTAACTTGATATTAATGCCTGAAGATGTTATGGTTGAGCCCGTGTCTTTCCCACAGAGTAAAATTTTAATCTTGTGAGCCTCCTAGTCTTGGAAGCATTATATTGACCATGGTGCCTTTCTCTGTAACAGAATGTCGTGTTTGTCAGAGTTTATAGAGGGTGAAGAGGTTCAGAACATGCTACTCCAAAATATTGTCATATTGGCTTATTGGTTATTTTGAGCTTCAATCACTTAAGAAAGAGCAAATGCAGAAGCTTTTTCTGACCTCCTCCTTTCTACAGAAGGTCATAAAATTTCCCATGAGCAAGGTTCCTTCCTCCACTATGTCAGGAAGAGAAAAACATTTTTATCACCAGAAACTGGGAGTCAATGCTGAAATGAACCTGTGCAAACAAACTTACTAAAATAACCCTTATCTTCCAGTAGTTTTTCCCTTATGTTTCCTATTCACTGTCCAACAATTTACTGCCCCTAGCCCAGGCCCCTTTGACTTAAGACATCCCCATAATTTATCATTCTTTGTGTAAAAAATATATATAAGCTTTGGGGCCTAATATCTTCTTTGGGTCCTCAAATTCTTTCTGAAGACTTCTGTGTACACTTATAAATAAATTTGTATGCTTTTCTCCTGTTAATCTCTCTTATGTCATTTTAATTCGTAGGCCACTCACAGAACCTAAGAGGGTGAAAGTAGGTTTTCCTACCCTACAAGGCATTGTACGTAACTGTTAATAGGAAAATTGCTTTGCTAACTATATCCTAATGTCTCAATAAAGTCAAATTTTTTTAACAACAACAAAAAAATCCTTTCTTAAAATGCCATTAAATTTACAGTTCAGTATATGTAATAAAAAATCTAAATTTAATATTCATGGTTAATAGAAGTTATTGTAGCCTGATTATGTTCTTCAGAATCAGAAGTACTCCTAAAAGAACCACAGAAATTCATTTAACACTTTATGTGGAATCATTTTCTTTAAATGCTAGAAATGGAAGGTACCTTAATGACATTGTCTTACCAAGAGCACAAATTCACCAAAGCCAACTCCAGCAACTCCATCTGATTCTAGAGATGTTAAGCTTACTAACTCCCAAGGTAAATTATTACTATTAGAATTTTATTTCTTAAAACGGGCAAAATATGCTCTCTCATAAAATTTCTGCCGTCATTTCTATTTTTGCCGCTTAAAGTGAATAATGTTTCAAACTTTCTTTAGATGGCAACTTTTAAAATAGTTTGAAGTTGAATACATATATCTTTTCCATATTAAATTTTTCAAATGTTTACTATTTTTCCGTATATGAGAGGATTTCAAGGCTAATGACTTTCCTGGTACCCATACCCATAGAAGTTCTTAGATATGCCTATTCTCTTTTATACTTTGACTTATACTTATACGTTGACTCATGCCATTCCAAAGTCAGGATAACCTTACAAAGAGAATAGTCAACTGGATGGTCAATTGTGTATTAGTACAAATTATAACAGACCTGATGTTTCTAACTATGGAGATCAAGTCAGAGGAAAGTTTGCTGAATGTGCTCTATCCTAGTTTTTACCACAATCTTATGTTATTTTAGAATTTGTATTTTTATGAAATATTATAACATATAAATCATTTTCACTTGACTTATATCCTTAAATTTTTTACAGTATTTAAATGTAGGCTCTATCTAAATATTTAGCCTTTAATTTATGTGAAAATTAAATTCAGTAGGATTAATGTGTTAAGAACTATAATATAGCAAGGCATTGGCAGAGTCAAGAACGGAAACACATTCCTCTCGCTTTAACCTAATTTGATATCTTTGTGAAGAGTAAGTTAAAGTTACATCAAGATCAACTGGAACCTTGGCTTATTATTATATGATAACATGCATACAGATATGTGTGTGTGGACACACACACTCACACACACACATACAAACACACATTAAAACATGTATTTTAGGGCTAGAAGGGAGTTTAGTGTAGTAAAAACTTGGGAGAGATGGCAAGAACATTAGTCTGTATATCGAATCCTGAGTTCTCTTAATGAACAGCCAAGCCCAGAATATTGTTGTGACGTTCCAGTTATGGAGCATATAGTATCCAAATCCAGCTTGACATTTGAAATTATATGTCACCACTATGAAACTTGTTTTGACACAATTCAAAATGACTTAACAAGGGAATCAAATTGCTATGGGGAGAAAAGATTATCAAACTCGCTTGCATTTATAAAGCCATAATGGCAGTAGATAGGTAAAATATTAACACCTAAACATTTTATTAGATATGGAAATAAATTAATCTTGGTATATTTTTAGAAGTTCTCTTTTATTTTGCAAAATTTGGTCTGCCCAGTGATCCACTTCATCTCTAATAAGTATATTAAAAATATGACTAAGAAGGTTTAAGATTTGACGTTTTGTATTATTTAATCATTATTAATGATTAATAAGATCATATAATGTAACTATATTTGAAAGACAACATGCAGAATTGAGCTAATGAATTGAAATGAGTGGGGTTTTTTAGTGTAGTGTATGGTTTATAAATATTAAAGTCATGATGATTATATTATTAAGCTAGAATATAAATAACACATTTTAGGATCTAATCCAAAGCATGAGTTTATTTATTCGGTTCATTATCTGTGTGTTTCTATGTGTGTGTGTACCTGTGTATGTCTTACAGCTGTTATTTCAAGAAACCAAGAAGGGCCAGGAGAAATGGGAAAGGCTGTGCTGATTCCTAAAGACGACCAGGAAAAAATGAAAGAGCTGTTTAAAATCAATCAGTTTAACCTGATGGCCAGTGATTTGATTGCCCTTAACAGAAGCCTACCAGATGTACGATTAGAAGGGTGAGTACACATGTGTTATATAATCTTGTATATTAGTAATCCTCATATTTCAGAATCTCCAAATTTCAACTAACTGAGATTATATTAACTCTAGAACTTCATAGTTCTGAGTACCTATGACATAGCAGGAATTTAGTGTGGGTGCACATGCTGAGAAATATGAACTATTAATATTTTCTTCTCTGGCAAGCAAAATATGTTACTTGCAAAGACACTGCAGAATACACAGGCCTAACAGGTTTTTCTTCAAGACATTTTTTTTGTTTTGCTTTGCTTTATCTTGCCAAATACAGAGCAAACATGCTTTTTAATGGATTACAGTTATTTGTCACTTAACAATGGGGATATGTACTAAGAAATGTATCTTTAGGCGATTTCGTCCTTATATAAACATCACATATGTACTTACACAAACCTAGATGATATAGCCCACTGCACACCTAGGCTATATGGCATAAACTTTTCCTCCTAGGCTAAAAACCTGTACAGCATGTTGCTGTACTGAATAGTCAAGACAATTTTAACACAACGGTAAGTATTTGTGTATCTAAACATATCTAAACATAAAAGGAAAAATATGCTATAACAGATAAAAAGAAATGATATACTTGTATGGGGCACTTACCATGAATGGAACTTGTAAGACTGAAAGTTTCTCTGGGTGAGTCAGTGAGCAAGCGCTAAGCAAACATGAAGGCCTAGGACATTGCTGCACGTTACAGCAGACTTTATACACACTATACACTTAGGCTACACAGAACTTATAAAACACAGATTTTTCTTTCTTCAATAATAAATTAACTTTATAGCTTACTGTAACTTTTTTACTTTTAAACTAACTTTTTTTAACTTTTTAACTCTTTTGTATTAATACTTGGCTTAAAACACAAGCACATTGTACAGCTATACAAAAAAATTTTCTTACTTTATATTCTTATTATATAAACTTTTTTCAATTTTTTAATTTATGTTTTACTTTTTTAACCTTTTTATTAAAAACTAAGACACAAAAATATACACACTGGCCTAGGCCTATGTAGTATCAGAATCATCAAGATTCCTAGGCAATAGGAATTTTTCAGATTTATTATAATCTTATGGGACCACCATTGTATTAATATATGCAGTCTATTGTTGAACAAAATGTTGTTATGTGTCACATGACTATATTTGGTTGTCTGCATAGAAAGCTCCATCTACTTAGTTTGAAAAAGTAAATGCTCTGCTATTCCAGCATAAAAATGGCCAATTGCCTATATTACTCTATGACCCATTAAAAATTATTTATTTTGGTTTCCAGAAATTTATGCTGTTATTTATAATTAGAATGTCAGTTATCAACAATGGAAGCAATATTCACTTGGAAATAATACCGCATGAAAAATGATGTTGAAATTTTAACTTTTATGTGATTAACTGTAAGCAATGCTCCAGATAGTTGAACATATTTTAAATGGGTGTAATAAAAATCAGAATATTTAGTGGCAACATTATCATTCTAATATATAGTCCTGGTAAAGCAAACTCTTTACACATTCACAAAAGACATGTCCTGAGAGTTTACAAAAAGTCCAGGTTTACAAATATACTCCAGGACAAACTGCTATGTAAATAGAAGTTGTTCTTCTAGACACATAATGATTTTCTCTATATAGAATAAAATCATAATGAATGTAAATAAAGTTTGCTGTCTATACTGGGCTACATTACATTAACATGTCCTTATATTAACATTGTATTTACTAATTATGATTTATTTTCCTTTCTGAATCACTTCAAATAAGACCAAAACCTTTGTAAGATGCTGGAGCTAGTATTTTTGAGTTGGTTTGGTTGGTGGCTAAGCTAAACAGTAACTGTTTCTTGCACCATTATATGCCTTTGAAATGTTTCTTTCAACGAAATCACAAATAACTACATATTATGGGCACTTTTGGTCACCAGAAAATGATTGAACATTGAATATTAAATTTGTGCATTGCAAAAGCCTAAATAATTTTACAAAGTTCTGTGCATATGTGTGCCTGTTTGTAAGTATGTAGACTCATTTGCATTTTTAAAGATACACAATAGGCATATTCTTCAAAATAATTTTGACCCTTTTAGATGCTAAGTTTATAATGTTATATAATTTTGCATTATTACTTTGTTTTTTTATGTCATGGTGTGATACAATGGATAAGTAAGATACTTATGTGTTTAAGAAAACTAGGTAAACACTATTTCAGGTTTTTAAAAAATCTTGACTTTTAACTGTCACAATATAAACAAATTAAATTTTATATCAGATCTAGGATTATCAAGGTAAGAATTACTTTACTACAGAATAGTGGATTGAAAAATAAAGAAAAAGGAACACACTCTTAATTGAGCAGACATTTAAAATATTTGTGGCCAATGGTATTCCTTCTTTTAAGAATATTGAGCATATTAAGTACTTGAGTAAGGCATATATTGTGTAACAATTCAACATTTAAAATAGAGGATTTACCTTGCACACTGTTGGAGGGAATGTAAATTAGTACAACCAGTATGGAGAACAGTGTGGAGGTCTCTCAAAAAGGTAAGTATCGACCTACCATAAGACCCAGCAATCCCACTGCTGGGTATATATCCAAAGGAGGAGAATTCAGTGTATCTAAAGGATATCTGCACTCCCATGTTTATTGCAGCACCATTCACAATAGCCAAGATTTTGAATCAACCTAAATGTCTATCTGTAGATAAATGGATAAAGAAATTGTGGTATATATTTACAATGGAATTTTATATTGCCAAAAAAAGAATGAAATCCTACCATTTGCAACAACATACATGGAACTGGAGAACATTATGTTAAGTGAAATAAGCCAAGCACACAATGAAAAATCTTGCATGTTCTCACTCATATGTGGGATCCCACTAAAGATTAAAAACAATTGATCTTATGGAGACAGAGAATAGAATGATGGTTACCAGAGGATAGAAAGGGTTGAGCAGGGAGGGGGGATGAAGTGGGGATTGTTAGTGGCTGTAAATATATAGTTAGATAGCTAGACAAAATGAACAATATGTGATAGCACAACAAAATGACTATAATCAACAGTAAGTTAGAGTGTACTTTAAAAAAACTAAAAGAGTGGTATTGAAATGTTCCTAACATAAAAATGATAAATACCTGAAATGATAGGTACCCCAATTACCCTGATTTGATTAATTCACACTGTATACCTGTATCAAATCATCACATGTACTCATAAAGATATACAACTATTGGCCGGGCGCAGTGGCTCACACCTGTAATCCTAGCACTCTGGGAGGCCGAGGCGGGCGGATTGTTTGAGCTCAGGAGTTCGAAACCAGCCTGA